GAATCCGATTATTGGTGACTGATAGTGCCCATTGGCTGATTCTAGGACTCTGAAGCCGATATTGACTCTAGGCCGATCATAACTTCGGGGCTTACTAATTTTCACCGTTAACATAACTAGATCGCCATATGTGTGCTAGATGAAACCAAAATCACACATCGGGCTTCGAGGGTATTATTTCACCATGTTTAGAAAGATTAGAGGCTAGAATGTCTAATATTATTCATAGTTTACTGGAAAAAAGCTGAACTTTTGGAATAGTTCATGGGTAATTTGGTCTTTACCTAGAAAATTTCTACCCCATCCATACCATGGGTCTCCTGTTACTATCTCTTCCCTTCCGAAGAGAAAATGACCTTATTGTCCCTAAACCATTGTTACTGGAGTATAATTTTTGGCTTCCCTTAAAAACACTTTTGACTTCCGAACAACCTAAGCATATGTAGAACTATATATTTCTGGACACAAGAATTTGACACCTGGTAAATGGAGTCATGCACCCATGACTAACTTATATAAAAAAGAGCACTTGTATTTTAGCTGTTAAAATAGTTTCCCACTGTCAAATGCAAAGCCAAGCGCAATCTGTCTGTGCATGCTTTGCTTTCTTGCATATAGGAGCAGGTCAACTCCTGCACCTTGCTCTCATCGCATTCCGCTGCAGTGTTTGCCCAAATAGGCATAACCTCGACCGGTAAAATCTAAACTGAGAGGCCTCTCTGTTTAGTCTAAACGGGAGACAGCATAGAAAGCTTAGACAGCAGAGAAAGCCTACACATCTGTACGGAAGACAACAGAGAAAGCGTACACATATATATATAGACATGCATTTCTTTTTTCCCTTCTTACAAAATTTTCTCCAAAATTGCTTATCTGATCTACAATCCGATTACACCATTGTGTTCGTTACAATTAAATCTTTACAACAAGATCTTACATGATTATATTACGACGAAAAAATATTTATGTTTGTAAATTACTTTTATTATATACGTAAGTTATTTTCATCGTATATATAAATTATTTTTAGATTTTACTAAGTTACTTCTTATACATTCATAATGATTTAAATTAATTATTTGTATTATTGTTTTTAGTCAATTCTATAATTTGTGGACTTTAAATTTAATTTTTCGATAGACCATATTTTCTTCCCTACAACGAATTTACTTCTAATGTTGTAACAATTTACTCCCATTTTATGCTAAGTTACTGAATTTACTTTCATAAATGCATTTACTTAAAAATCTTCTCTTACACTTTGCTTGTGAATTTACTCTACATAGTTTATTATTTAAACTCAAAAATAATGTAATTACTTCTAATGCTATACAGAGTTACTTCTACTGCATAGCTAAGTTACTTCTGCAATTTAAATAAATTACTTTTAAATTAATAAAATGTTTTAATATATTCAACATGGATCTTGTTTTGTCACATATTTTATGTAGAGTACAATGATGCAAATATATCTTAAAAATAAGGAAAAAGTATGAATTACCCCCTCCCCCCGAACTATCACGGTCGTCCGAATTACCCCCCTAAACCACAAAACCGGACATTCCTCACCCCCAACTATGCAAACCGAACGAATTACCCCCCTCGACCCAATCTGCGGTGGTTTTGGTCTACGTGGCGTACGCGTGGCAGTCTAGTTAGGATTCTATTTATAAAAAAAAACATATATTATTGCACTTTTTAAGTTGAAAGGAGATACTAGATAGAGTACAAACCAGCTATCACTAACTGTATAGTCACGTCCAATAAAAAAGGTATGCATTAAAGTTACTTTTTTTATATGTTACTTCTATAATATATGTAATATAATATATGTAAATTACTTTTAGGCATTATTGAATTTACTTTTTTATGTCTAAGAAGTAATTTAGTGAAATCTAAAAGTAATTTAGATATATTATAAAAGTAATTTATATTTTTTTATCAAAATATAATCATGTGAGATCTTGTTGTAAAGATCTAATTGTTACGAACACAACAATGCAATCGGATCGTAGATCGGATGAGTAGTTTAAGAGAAAATTTTATTTAAAGTATAGGTGGATAGGATCTCTCATAGATAGAGTGGTAGCTACCACTAGCTGTATAGTCACGTTCAACCTTGACCGGACATTTCATTGTTGGAAGAAGCGCACGTCTCCCATAAAGGGGTGCGGGAGGAAGGAAGATATCTAGGATTAATTGTACAGAAAATCACATCTATACCACTGTTATTGTGTGGCACCAAATAAAATGCAAGCAAGGATAGGCAAGAGGAGGCTCGATTCTCTGCCTCCACCATCTCCATTCACAAGGAGATATTCTCGCCTCTCCTCTCCTATCGTTGGTTCTAGCCTTCTAAGGGCAAGTTTTATAGTAGGGTAGTTGCCACATCTAATTTTATCCATGTAATCTCTACTATTATAAAAATTTAAAACATTTTTGCCAGTACTTTGGTACGTCATCCGTGTATGAGTTAGTTTTTAAGTTCGTTTGATTTTGGAAATACAGATCCGTATATGATTAAGGTTTTAAGTTCGTTCGCTTTTGATAATACGGAAGGAGTCGTATAAGATATTTCTTTAAAAAGCTCACATGAAGATCATTGGACTCCTAATTGTAGCTCATGATTTTCTAGAAATATATATATCCAAGCGAATTCCCACAATGAATTTCACATTAACTAAACCGTATAACAATAAGAAAATTATTCAAATAACCTTCATCCGTTGCAACGCACGGGTATTTTTTCTAGTATAAGAAATAATATATATAATACACCACATCTACACTATCTCTAGCATACTAACCCAAATGTTTTTATTTTATTTGTTTGTCCAATCCCCTCTTTCAATTCTTTCATCTCCTTTTTCTTGGAGTTTGTGTGGAGGTTGCCCCTTGCATGAGAGATGGCTTATCTTCTCTTTTCTTATTTATTTCTTTCACCTCATCATTCAATTATATGTGGCATTTTTTGGGGCAAAACATCAAACAATATAGTAATTACCCTAAGGCCTCTCCCACGACCCTCTCTCGAGCCCAACCACCCTTGTGCTCCAATCGACAGCCCGCAGGTTCTTGGGAACATCATAGCAAGTAGCAACACAAGAGGTGGGGCGGGGGAAGGATTTTTTTACATGTGTATTTCGTCTTGTTTAGAAAGATTGTGGGTGTACAATGTCTAATACTATTCATAGTTTACAAGAAAAATTGAACTTTTTTGAATAGGTCATGAGTAATTTGGACTTTGCCTAGTAAATTTCGACATCCCATCTATACCATGGGTAAGTCTTCTGTTACCATTCTCCGCCGCCCCCCCCCCCCACCCCAAAAAAAAAAAAAGACGCACACATTGCTCCCACCATTATGGCATTATTTGCTGAAGTTTTGGTTTGGTGACTTGGTGTGGCTCCCAAGTCCCAGTTTTTTTTTTGACAAATTGGCCCTTTTGAAAAATTATTGTGAAACTAGCCCGTGCAAAAAACTTCAACCAAAAATAGGCCGTCGGCCCAGCGCGAAGCATCCTAGTGCTGAGGTTGGCCAGGCCAACGCCAACCGCCTTGGCGCTGAGCCTTGCCAGCGTGGCGGCCCAGCTTTTCCCCCACACCGGCATGGCACGGACCTCAGCGCCAACTGACAGGGCGTTGAGATGGCCAACCTGAGCGCCATTTGTCTTGGCGCTGAGCTAGCCGCCCGCGCAGCGCTGGCTCAAGCAGCACCTCGGGGTGGCCGGGTCGGGGATCTCAGCGCCAGCTATAATGGCGCTGAGGATTACCTGGCGCTGAGCTTCGGCACTTAGCCGCCCGCGCCGGGCTCGCCCAAGCAGCCCCTCGGTGTGGCCGGGTCGGGGATCTCAGCGCCAGCTGTAATGGCGCTGAGTCTTTTAACTTCAGCGCCAAGACCCCTGGCGTTGAGCTTCGGCACTTAGCCGCCCGCGCCGGGCTCGCCCAAGTAGCCCCTCTGTGTGGCAGGGTCGGGGATCTCAGTGCCAGATATAATGGTGCTGAGTCCTTTAACGTCAGCGCTAGGTACGACCTAGCGCTGAGGTGGTTCCCCAGCACAGCCACAGCCACTGCCACTGCCACAGCATATACATCCATTCATCCATCCATTCATCCATCCATTCACAAACATCACACACATATGCATCCATCCATTCACACACATATACATCCATCAACACAAATACATCCATCCATTCACAGACATATACTTCCATCTATCCATAAACATAACCATTCATCCATCCAAAATCCATACACATCCAGCTCCATCACAACCACATCCATCCACAGACTTAAGCCTAAACACAACCATAGTTGTGGGTTCATCAAAATATAGGATTGCAAGTCATAGTATAGTTGTGAGTTTCATAAAGTACACAAGTTACCGAACTAAACCACCAAAAAAAACTTACTTCTTCCTACCCCTTGGAGCACGAGGCTGATTGGGAGTGTACCTCCAGTCGGAAATAGGAGCTCTCTTGCGCTGTGGTCGAGATGGCCCCTATGATGACTGTGGAGCATCCTGTAGCTAGGAGGGACCGAGCTCCACTTGCTCCTCCTCTTCCTCCTCCTCTCCCTCCTCCTCCTCCTCTCCTTCTTCCTCCTCCTCCTCCTCCTCTCCCTCTTCCTCCTCCTCTCCCTCTTGTTCACCCTCTTGAGCCACTCCTCGACTTGTCCCCTGCTCGGCCCGTCGAGGTGGTTCGACGGCATCGTCGGCCCTGCATCCCAGCCGTGCCGCCAACTTCTTGCAACGCTGTCGTAGAGTCTAGTACCAACATAAGGAAGGAGTTAGTTCCAATTATGTGTATGGTGCATGAATTTTACAAATCTACCTGTAAGGCATTCTGAAGAACACTGCTCTCTTGTTGCGAGCTAGGGGGCGTGCCAAGTGCCACGCCCAAATCATTCACTGCCCTGACTAGCTCTTGTGCCTGTAGGAGAAGTTATAAGCATGAAGTACGGAAATTGGAAAACGAGTAAATAGAACCCATACGCACCACTCTATCTCGAACCGGACCCGTCTCGACCGTGCTACCTCTACGAGTACTTGTATCGTACTCGTTCTACTCCTCCACCTCAGTCAGGTTGTCCGCTATGTCGGCTAGCGTCCAAGCCGGACGTAGGGCGAGGCGGTAGTTCCTCGCGAGCCAGGCTAAGTATGCGTTGAACTCTTGCCTATTGTGCATTGCGTTATCCGGCATGCGGTTGGCTTTGAACTGGTCCCATCGATCGATGTGTGTCTGATGATAAGCAGTCCAATCGGTGGTCTTCTTGTTTTTCCTTCTGTCCACCCTACACGCAATACAGTAATATAAATTAATGGACAGTGGTTTAATGGACAGTTCATCAACAGCTCAACATATGGTCGTAGGCAAATTGACTTACTTATGGAGATCGATGCTTGTAGAGAATCTTTGCGGGATTGTTTGCCGCCTCCCGAACTGCCTTATCACCCGGTTGCAAAGCTGGTACACATGTCACGCCCAGAAATTCACTAGTAATTTCCGAACTAATTTGTGTATTAAAATCCTCGTCCAGGAATCAACCGAGGTACACAAACTGACAATTTAATATACAGATTCATCAATAATACAATGTTACATACTTACAAATAAAAAGAGAAAATAGCAGCGGAATTACGGTCTAGCGAAGATCCAGCTCCACTCCCACAGGCAGCTCAACTGGGGTATAACCCAAACGTCTTCTCCTTTGCAACTTTTCTTCAACTGAGGTTTGATTGATTATTGCAAGGTGAGCATATGACATACTCAACAAGCCACACAGCAAATATGTAAGTGCACAAGGATACAAAAGGATGGCATAATATAGGGCTCATTTGCAAAAGCAGTATTTAGCAAACAGTTAAGAATTGTAAAATAGTAGAGTAATTAATCATCAATATTAATCAACACTAAACAGCATACCCATGCTGTATAGGCCCAACCATCCTGAACAACCATACCTGGCTGTACAGATCTATCTCCAAACCAGGAATGTACCATTCCAAACCAGGAGCTAATCAAATTATTACCAGTTATATCATCATCTATTATGGTGAGAAGTGTGAGACTAATCATGAAAGACATTGTTAGACCCGCCCATAACCGCGGGCACGGCTATTCGAATAGTTTTACTCTGGCCAGAGGTGTACCACTGTACCCATAAGACACAACTCCACAATATGTCACCATATCATCATGTGCCCATGCTGAACATGTCACCATTTGTGTAGTTGTGACAAGACCCCTCGCATAGCTCAACTCAAAGCAGCGCACCTTTCCTGCATCGTAGTCACCCCCTCAAAAAAAACCAGAGGCATGGACTCCCCAGCGACCCCCGTGGGCTTATCTCCACCACTTCTCAGTCTGGCACACCACAATAAGCCTTGCTATACAAAGTGTCTAGCCGTTGCCCACTCTGGCTTGTGGTTGGCACGGTTAATGTTTCGCAACCGAAGCTCGTGAACCGGTCCTTAATTATCATGAGCACGACCATCAAAACCATGTGCTCACAACCTATCATTATCAAGTTTTAGTTGGCACACTAATTAATTAACCAATCACGATTGACCATCGTGAGCTACCTTTACCATGTACATCATTAAGTAATAGTGAAACATTAGTTATCCCAATAGTGTGCTAATGTTTCTAAATATGGCTAAGCAATTATATCTAATATATCTAGTTGAACCAATATATAAATCCAACTAGTCAAATTATAACCCGAGGTAATCAAGAAATAGGGTGATCAATGCAAATTGGCCATAACAAAGGAACAGGTTCACACCACCCGGTGACATTCGAAAATAAATGCATAGTTGAAATAAATAGAAAATTTAAATATAGGATCAACATGCTCAAAGGTATTCTGTTTGGGATCTGTGTGACTTGCCTTGCAATAAAGGGTCTTCAATTAATCTTCTTGGATACTTACAACGCACTCACGAACCTTCGAAACAACGGAAACGACAAGCTAACACGCAAAACGAGGAAAAAGACTAAGAAACTCCAAATAAACAAAACATATAAAGTAAACAAACATGTAGATCATGATTTTAGATGACTTTAGAGACTTGAACGGCCTCATTCGATTTCATATAAACTAATTATGAATTTTACAAGATTAATTCCAATTAAACCTATTAAAGAAAAGAATATTCCAAATTAATTAAACCATTTACAAATGATTTATAACTAAGATAAAAACAACCTCCGGAAATAGATTAGATTATATTTGGTAGATGACATATATTAAAAAGAAATAATATGCCATTGAAAAGAGGGAACGGATTTATATCGATTTTAGACGACTAAGATTAATCTTGACATAGAGTTGACCAAGATTCAACGGATTAGATTGATCTGGCAAGCGAGCCTCACGAGATACCAACTCAACGAGTCAATTCTACGTGACACGGGATCACCCAAATGATCAACCGAAACCGTCGAACGGAACCGGCGGCTCTGAACGGCTCTAAACTAAAGGACGGCTCCACACGGACGAACGAACGAAGCACGGGGACACCTCGTTCGAACAAACGAGCGAACGACTCAACAACGGCTGCGGCTAAACCGGTGGGCTAGAAACGATTCACAGTAAAACCCCGGTACGGCAAACGATAGGCCGGTACGAATTTAGGGATGCACCTACGGCTAGACAACTTGACTACCGAGCAACGGCTAAAGCGGCACACAGCTGCGACACGGCGGCACTAGGGCGACTTGGCTCGGCTAGGCGGCGGCGACTCGGCGGAGGCACGTGGCTAGGGTTAGGGCGACGGCACAGCAACGACGACACAAACATCTACCCAAGGAATCGGAGAGGAGGCCTCACCAGGAAACGGCGGCGACCGGAGAAGAAGCCAGCGATGGTCCGACGACACCACACAGAGACGATGACGACGCTAGAGCCAAACAAGATTAGATTAGATGAAATTAAGACCCTACGGATAAACTACACCGGTAAATGACATGGGAGAGAGGAAAGCTCACCGAGGGGTGGCGCGACGATGGATGAGACAGCAGACGGCCGGCAGTGAGCTTGGAAAGGCGGCGAGGTACTGGTCAAAGACGGCGACGGCGTTCCGGTAATATTTGGCGAAGAAGAGGTGGTGGACGGTCTTCTGCTTGCAGCTGCGAATCCAATGAAGACGACGGCGACCGAAGGCGACGACGGACGACGACGAACGGCGCGGCTGGAGGCACAGCGACGACGGCGGCGCTCCGGTTCACGACGACGGGCTACCTCCGGTGGGATTTGGCGCAAAATAACAAGCGGCCGGGGTAGAGATCGACTTTTCGGAGCCGAGGGAGGTGGCGGCGCTACCGGCGACGGCCGAGGCGACGGCGAGATGCGGCTGGAGCGGCGCCGGCGCTTGGAGAGAGAAGGAGAGCCCGGGGAGAGCGATTCCGGCGACGGCGGAAGACGGGACTTGAGGGGTTAGGTAGAGGACGACGAGGGGATGCTTTATATAGGCACGGGAGCTCGGGTCCGGGCCCAAATCGACGGAAGAAACTCCGGGAAAGTTTAGGATCCTTGCCGGCAAAAGGAAATATTGATCCGCGAAATTGGAAAGGATTTCCTATAGAAACTTTTGGGGATTTCTTGGGGAAAAGGAAGAGGAGATTGATAGGATTCCATTCCCGCAACTAATTTGGAAAGAGGAGCAACGGGGAGGCCAGATTTGGAAGGAGGAGGCGGCGGCAACTGTGCACGGGCTGGAGAGCTCGGCTCTGTCCAGAGGTAGAAGAAGGAGCACTGTAGTGAGGGGGACACAAAACAGACTTTTCTGCGGGCTGAGAGGAAGGGAGAGAATGGGCTGAATTCGGCCCAAGACTAGGAAGGAAGATTTTATTGCTTTTCCAAATAAATTAACCAATGAGATGATCTTTCAATTGTTAAAAATACTTCCAATGCTCAAATAATTCCAAGAAAATTCTTGAACATACTTGGGCACTGTAAGTATTTAACAAAATTGAAAGCAGCTCATTTAATGATTAATTTAGTATGTGAATAATTACTGAAATATTCTTTGTATTATTAAAATTAGGAATTGAGCTCCGAAAAATCCGAGAAAATTTCAGAGAGTATAATTAATCATGAAGAATTTAATAAAAATTAAATCCAGCCATGCTTTATATTTAGGAAATTTTATTTCCCACATTTAACTTAACTTGCAAATTAATGAACATTTAAATATAATTTCTGTTAACAATTTATTAAATAATTTATAAATCCTGAAACGAAAATCAGGCTGTGACAACTCAACTGCGTAGAAGCATATGAGAGGGCACCGTAGTGTATTCATCTCCCAGTCTATGTTGCACATGGCGTTAATTCCAAGTTTAGCTATCTCCTGTGACTCGTAGGGCATCCATTCCACCTATGTTGTGAAACAAATTTTGAGTTAGTACAGCTAGCAAATCCCAAATGCTTGTTGATGAAATATTTGAGTACTCACATGCTTGGGCTGGAGATAGTCCATCTCGTTGGTGTAATTGTAATAGGCCAAGTTTCTGCGGCCTACTACAGGTGACGGCTTTCCCATAGAAAGCAACTGTGGGACGTCGATCCTCATCCTGGAATGGGCATGCCGGATGTTGCCTCCATGTAGGACGACCAACCGGTAAGCGAATCCACATCCAGACCTGCAAGATGTTGTAACTTGTTAGATTTTATAGCTTAAAGACCAACAAATGAAACACATGGTACAAACTGTCTCCTACCTGTAGCAGCCACACACACCCTGCCAAGTTGGCATCTGCACTAGACCTCCGGCAAGCATCACATAGCTGCCTGTACAACCACGCAAGGGCTGCAGAACCCCAACTGTATGTACCCGCCTCATCCCAATCCTCTAGCAATGGCAGCCACATCCAGGAAGCCATGTCTCCACCAGAGTCAGGAAAAATGATACTACCAAATATGTACAGCACATATGCCCTACAGTATCGCTGAACCGTCGGCTAGTCAGCGTCAGGAGGGCACTGTGAGAAGTTGGCACGCAGCCAACTAAGCGGAACTCTAGAGGTCTTCGTCAACCTCTGTCCGTCAGGAGCCTCTGGAGGCTCAATACCAAGGTACTGAACCACGCCTGCCCTCTAGTTACCGGAAGCAGTGTCACTGGTAACTGCCTGGCCCCATATTGGAAGAGCCAGGATCATGGCAACATCCTCCAGTGTCACCGTTAGCTCTCCACTGTGAAGGTGGAAAGTATGGGTCTCTGGGCGCCATCGGTCCACAAGAGCGGTCAGTACCGCATCGTTGTACAGAGGCACGGGCCACTGCGCCATGGTGGCGAACGCCAACAGTTTCGCCTGACGTAGGTACGGAATGTACCGGTCGTCGAACGGGATGTGCACTGTGTGAACTCTGACTTAGGGTCTTGAGGCACTGCATCAATAGACAAAAAAAAATATGCAAGTGTTAGTAAATCAGTGCAATATACAAAATATGTCATACAAATAAAAGGGTATTGCATCTCGAGGATAACCTCTCCGCTCGCTATCTTGGGAGCCCGATGCCTCTCCTCGTACCCCCAATGGAAGTGATTTGAAACTGACGTTTCTTTAGAATTCGATTAAGAATAAGAACATAGACCGGCTTCTAGAAAAAGAGACGTGCCCTCTTCTCTATCTGTAGATTCAGGAGCGGCTCTAGACCCGAAAACTGCGCCATCCTGCAATTAAACATTAAGTCATTAGTAAAGGATACAATTGTAATATAAAAAATGAGAAAGCATGTAAAAGAAATAGTTATAATAAATATTTTAATTAAAACATGTAAAAATGTACAAGACAAATTACCTGTTTTCTAGACCTAACACCTCCCCCCGTCCTGCGGCGTTTCTTTGGCCTATCCTTTGATTTGTCTCGATTCGGACACCGGGTTTTCTTATGGCCTGGTTGATGGCATATGGAACATCTATTTTGATTGGATGGCTCGGAAGTATTGTTTGCCTTTACTAACCGTCATTTGCCTGCACCTTTATACCCTTTATCCATGTCGTTTTTTAATCTCTTTGTCCTTCGTCTTCCTCGAATGTCGTTCTTCAACGACAAGTCGGGAATGAATAATTCACCATCGTAACTTGGCCACTGAGATGGATCTAGGTAAGGCTCAAACCTCGGGGAGTATGTGTGTTTCACAGCCTCATTGGAAGTTTCGTAACACATCCGTGGGGGCACCTCTATATCCAAACCTCGGAGCCTACAAACGGTTATCATGTGTGAGCATGGCATGTGGTGGAGTTGAGGAAATTGGCAAGTACATGTGTTATCTCTTGCAACCACGACATAGTGACGTCCACCCCATTGAACACCGGCCGCCGTGACTCCGCCTTGATCGGTGACCTCGTACTACATGGATGGAAAATCGAATTGTGTGGTCCGCTGTCCCAAAGTTCGCTTTTTCTGCTCTTCAAGGATATCCTTAATTTTTTCTGGTCACTTCTTTCCACTCAGGACTTCTACAGTTGCCTCTTTGTGTCTATCGATGAACCAACAATTGCACTTTGAGAATGTGTACGCCACAATAGCTGTCATGGGCAGTTTTCGAATGCTACTCAAGACATTGTTGAAACTCTCGGCCATATTACTAGTCATAAAGCTGTAACGACGCCCATCGGTATCAAATGATTTGGTCCATTTAGCCTTGAATGTCATATTGTTCGTTAGCCATTTCTTAGGACCTTCCCCAAGCAAACCCATGAGACGCTTGATCTCGCTTATGAATAGAACTTTCTCGTTGATTTGACATATGCGCTCGAGGTCCTTCATTTGATCCTGAGTAGCTCCAGCGGTATAAAAGTTAGCACAAAAATGCCTCATGCACCATCTGTGGTGAATAGGTCGGTGGCCTGGAATCTCATTCTTGATGGAGTTCAATATACCAGCGTGCCTACCAGATATTATACATACTTCTCTATTCGGTCCAATCAAACGTCGTCTCACTATGTCAATGAACCACTCCCAGTTGGACGTGTTCTCCCTCTCTACCAGGGCAAACGCCAAAGGAACAAGGTGTAACCCTGCGTCAATCCCAATTGCTATGAGCAATACACCTCTGAATTTACCGGTTAAGAAGGTCCCATCAATTGCTAACACTGGCCTCAAATGCTTGAATGCCTCCACTGATTGCCCAAATATCCATGAAGCACGACCAAAAACACGCCTATGGACTCCATCCACCGTTCTTGATTTCTCCCCTTGAGGCTCAACAAGGAAATGCTTGCTTGGGTTCGTACTTTTGATGGCATTCAGTAGTATAGGCAAGTGAAGGTATGCCTCGTCCCAATCTCCCCATATGACTTTCATAGCAACTTACTTAGCATGCCAAGCTTTACCATACGTAGGCCGATAGTGCCATATGTGCTCAACTGCCTCTACAATAGCTGCAGGAGACAATGTTGGTTCCGCTCTAACAAATGCCTGCAATCTGTTACCTATAAACCTCGAAGTTAGCTGCAAGTGCTTGCCAGTTGCTTCCAGACTAGAGCATGTGTGGTCTTTGCCAACACTACTTATCCTCCACGTATCACCCGCACTCTTTCTTGCACGAATCTGCCATTGCAGTAATGATCAAGGCAAGCCACGGTGTACTTCATAGATGCATTGGACTCCTTAACATGGAATGGGCGGTGCACCCAGATAGAGTAGCTCTGCAACCATATTTTCAACTCATCCATGGATCGAAACTCTAACCCCTTCCTCGGTTCCTCCCCCATCGCATCGAAGGCTCCATCATATTGTGGATCAACATCTGCAACAGCAAGCCTGCCATTGCTAAGGTCCTCGAATTGAGCTCTTTCCGGATTTTGACCAATGATTTTCTCAAACACAGTCCTCTCCTCCTTCGACAACTTGCCCACTGGACGATCATTATCAGAGTCAGATGCAGACTCATCTACTTCATTGTCCAAATCAGCATACAACAAATTTGGGTTTAATCCATTAAATATTATAGATTCCTCACACTCCTCGCAAGTGTAAATTTCATCAGCAAGCAAGTCTCTAATGAATAAAATCAACCGCCTCTTGTCAAGTTCATCCATATTCTCATTATCTGCTTGATTCGCATCCATACCACCATCTGACATTTCCTTCTCTACCTCCCCATCTTCCACATCTGCTTGATTCACATCCATACCACCATCTGAAATTTCCTTCTCTATCTCCCCATCTTCCACATCCCAGTGCCTATCCTCACCTATATCCACATCCTTCTCAACCTGTTTTTCCTCCCCTACCTGCATATCTTCCTCAATTAATTCTTCCTTCCGATCCACCACAAACACATCGTTCTTCGGTTCATGACAATACTTGGGGATTCTATGTGTGGACTTTCATTGAGATCAAACAATTCTTTCTTCCATTCCCTACGCTCTTTCTTCCAAGCAAACACCTCAAGCGATTTGAACTGTGAACCCAAGACTATATTTTCCCATTCCACCTCTCTATTCAAATCTAACATGTACTTATGCGACATTGCACCGGCACCTACATCGTATCTCCCTTGCATACCAACAGACTCATCGCTCCAATCCAATTCATCCTTCATGCGTGAAATTAACTCCTCAAATGTGGGTTTGGCACAAAACACTAACTGCCTGACAGACATCCCCTCAAATTGGCTACTAGCGGTACTTTCATCTACCACATTGCCACCAAAATGGAGTCGTACCAATCTATCCATCTACATCAAATTACCGATGAAAAAGGTGTATTATTCTATTATAATACGTCGCTATAAAAATAGAAATATGATATGGGTACCCCAGACCTAAATAAAAGATTTTTGAAATTCTATCGATTAATCTCCTGTTACAATGTTCCTACGATCTATGCCATTCAATATCAATATTAATCAATATGAATCCCAAAATATTGACAATACAACGGCTCTCCACATCCATCTCAACTTCACCCTTAGCAAAATAGTGCATAATTTACAAAAATGATATGAATCCACTATACTAACATCAATATACAACTATAACGTCGCATCCTTACCCACATTCCCTAATCCACACCACAACCCGAGCAACATTTAACAACCCACGATTTCAACCAAAATACTCTACAAAAATAAGAGAAATATTGGGGAAATTAGGGTTTTTGGACGGGATTTACCTTGCAAACCAATATCCAAAGCAATGCCCACTAATTAGCCTTCGATTTGAGGTGGATTTGAGGGGATTTCTGGAGGGGAGGAGAGAGGGCAACGCGGGGGCAACGAACCCTAGCCTCTCTGTGAGGAAAAGAAGCAGGGTCAGGTTGGGGCGGCGCGGCGGCGGCATATATGCCGCTACCTCAGCACCAACGGGCCTGGCGCTGAGGTTGAAAACATACTGGTTGGCGCTGAGGTCCGTGCCACGTTGGCTTGGGGGATAAGCTAGGCCGCCACGCTGAAGCATCTAGGCCCCCGTTGTTAATTTTGGTAATTAATGACAAGCACTAATTGTGGACTAACCGTTGTCTTTGAGCTATATGTATTTTGAGTTAGATTCGCATTATGTGTGTGCGCAAGGATGACTATCGATTGATTAAAATTTGATGGCGCGAAGCGAAGAAAAGAAGATGGTAAAACTAGTGCTTTAGTTCTAAATTGATCGAGGTGTAGGGCGATCAAATTTGCTAGTTTATTTTTTAGCTTCACCATACTATTAAGAGGGGTAATGACCTAGCAAAGAGATGATTTAAATTGCCACATTAGGTCATTTGCATTTAGACTCAATTTTCACATCACTTTCTTAGAGTTGCAAATTCACTGGGGTCAGCCTGACCAAGGCCGGTCTGACCGCGGCATGTACGCCGGTCTGACCAGTGGGTAGTGGCCGGTCTGACCGACGGCCCAATGCCGGTTTGACTGGCCCCCTGGTGGCCGGGAGGAGAGCTCCCGGGGTGGCTGATACAGAGCCGCCGGAGCCGAGGTTGGTCAGACTGAGCTGGTGGCGGTCTGACCGGCCACCCCATGTTGGTCTGACCGTCCAGGGCTATGGGGCCCAATGACAACCCTACAACGGCTAGAAAACTAGCCGTTGTAGAGTAGCACGGTCTGACCTGTCACACACCTCCGGTCTGACCGGCCACACACCTCCGGTCTGACCGGCAGAGCACTGAGTTGGTTGATTTCTCCCCCAACGGCTAGTTTTGGTGAGTGGGAGTATAAATACTCCCACACCAGCAGCAAGAGGACTCTCTTGGCACCCACTTCAATTGCATACACCCCTTGCACCTCTCGCACACACATTTGAGCTTTGTGTTCATCCATCTAGTGTTGAAGATTGATTTAGCCAAGAGTCAAGTGCATTGCTTCCATTGTAGAGCTAGTGTGGAACTTGATCATCTTCGAGCTAGGTCATCACTAGTTACTCTTGGAGGTTGCCGCCTCCTAGACGGCTTGTGGAGGAGTTGCCCGGTGACCTCTCCGAGAAGATTGTGGAGGAGGCCCGGTGCCGGTTTGTGAGTGGTTTGGTGTTCACCACCTTCGGAGTGAAGGAAGAACTACCCCGAGTGATTGAGGCTTGGGTAGTCCTCTCCATGGGCCGGCTCCCGCCTTGCCCACCCCTTGACGAAGGGGGCGTGCGGTGGCTTCGTGGTTGAGCGGTGGAGTTGGGCTCGCCTCAACGAGGAGTAGGAAACCTGCGAGTTTCTGAACCTCGGTGAAAAATCTCTTGTCTCCTTGTCTCATTTGATTGTCGCATTTATATTTGTGCAATTTACATTCCTAGACACATACTTGAGATCATATCACCCTAGGATTGCTAAACATTGACGTAGGAGTGTGATTTACTTTCCTAGAGATATAATTGAGCAACTACCACCCTAGGTTTGCAAAACATAACTTAGTTGCATAGTTAGACTTGACCCTCACCAAGCCTAGCAACTTATGTTAGTTTTGATTAGGTGTCATTTAGTTTTTAAATCGCATATTCACCCCCCTCTGGTCGACATCTCGATCTTACATACGCTGGCAAGGCTCAGCGCCAAGGCGGTTGGCGCTGTCCTAGCCAACCTCAGCGCCAGTATGCCCGCGGCCTATTTTTGGTTGAAGTTTTTTTTGCACTGGCTAGTTTTGCAAAAAGTTTTTCAAAAGGGCCAATTTGTCAAAAAAAAAAAGGCCCCAGTCCTGCGTCCTGACGACAGACAACTTTTCTTAGAGCAGGTTTAATAGTATCGCCGGTTACAGGCTATAAATATGTACCATGTCATCTTATAGCTAGAGAGTATAGTAGTAGGCTGTTAACACGTTAAGCAAGTAAGATCTTTATTAATTTTTTAATCACCTCAATCTCTTTCTTCTTTGCCGTTCACTCTCACACTCCGCTGCAACACTGACAAAAAAACAATTCACAGGGTGCTTTGGAGCTCGTGTGCGCTGGAGACTAATTTACCGTCCACTTGCACCCTCTTTCCTCCCTTCTCTCGTCCATGTCATCATCCAATCTGACGTGCAGTTTATATCGCCGGCTCAATCCGCCTTATTAAACCTGCTCTTATGCCATCCCACGGAAATAGTGGGCACCACCGATATGCAGCCTGACATCCAACTCCCTCTTGGCCTCTTGCACCAACTGTCTTCTTATTAAAGCTCGTCGACCTGGTAATTTGAAATGAAAATGGGCCGAGTCGACAGGTTGATGCTCAAGCCCATCGACGGCGAGGTCTATGTTATGTTATGTATATTCTATGGATTCTGCAAGAGATGGCGGATTGTCTGGGCAAGAAAACCCTGCATAGTTTTGAGGCGGCGGCACAAGGTTCGTCGCTGCCTGTCTGATTAGCATATTACTAGTGGGACAAGTAAATTATGCAGACCGCATACATAGTTAAAGCAAAGAAAAAGAAAGAAAGAAAAATAAAAACTCAAACCAAATTGCTAATCGTGACAAGTGGGAACTGGCACCCAATATATTAGAGAGTAAGGATTTGGGTACATATATAAAAAAACGATATTTACTCTTATAAACAAAGTTCGATTTAATTAATGGGCATTTATAAAAAAAAATCAAGAATCAATTACAGCGTGTACATTAATTTTTATAAGATGTTTTTTTTTGTTGTACCCTTTTCTTATATTACATCTGCACCCTGTACTTCGCAGCTCGCTAAGTTAATTCAGTGTTGCTTTTATGATGCCATCTGCTACGGGAGATAGTAGAGAACTCCCTCCGTCCCATATTACTTATGATCCTACAATTCAATTCTTTTTATCGAAATACTTACAATTCCCGTATGCAGAGTATTTTTGGAGGTGACTTTCCATCTCTATCATTTATCAACTCAACCTTGCACAATTAATAATTGTTCATCGA